ATGCTTGTGTTCTCTCACAGCACGCTCACGTGTGTCGAATTCCATGTAGTGGTAGCAAAAGTTATCGCGATTATCTTGGAAACTAAAGTACAGTGACACTTTTGTCGGAGGAAAAAGTTGTTCAAAATATGCTTTTCTACCAACATTTGTCAATCTTATAAAAATTGGAGAGATATTCCACATGCGTTACTTTCATCAAAAATGTTAAACAAAATAAATTATTCATATAAATTTAGCGAACATTATAAAAATACACTTATTTTGGTGTCACAAAATTGAGCGTAGAAAAAATAAAATTATGCAAAAATATATAATAATCCTTCTCTTAACACTTCGTTCCATATTCATCTGCGTCTGTAATTGCTTTTAAACATCTAGGCCTAGATTTTATTAATTTTTCTGTTGTAAAATGCGAAATACTTGTCCATATTTCGGCAATTTCCTTTTTCGCATCTGTTTTATTGGAAAACGTAAATATTTAATTTTGAATTTAAATACATTATTAATAATTTCTTATTAATATAGGATGAATGTTTAATGTGTAATTTTAGATTGAAAATTTCCGAGTTTATTTTAAATATCAAGATATTTTATTTTGTCTATTGTAGCTACAATAAATTCCATTTCACCAATTCCACTTGTTGCCATGCATCCCTGAGCATTGTAGAATTCTAAACGCTTAATTCTATTTAATTTCGAAAGGTGTGGCATATTTCTTGTTATACAACCATGATAGCCTTTATTGTATAGTACCCTATGGACGGTTTCATAAATATTGTTTTGTTAATCGTCGGTGATATTTCTGTTGTTAGTTTATATATACTAATTCTTGGATTCATTCAAATTTGTCTGACTATAAATCGTTCATCATACACGCTTAGAATTTCTTACCTTCTACGTTTTGTCTTATCATACTGCTGTTTTCCGTGAATAATAAGACTACGTTGGTTTTATAAAATATAACAATAGTATATTTCAAGAATACAGTCGGACCCGCGCACAGTGTTTTGAGTACATGGAAGTTCGGGAAAAAGGCCAAAATTTCTAAATTAATTGATTTTTGTCGTAAATACCCTAATTCTTTTTATAATGAATACAAAGCTGCATCGATTATAATTAAATAAATACACATTCTCATTACAAAAAATTGTTACAATCTTGTTTCTTTATTAAATGAACAACTTTTTACCAGCTTGCATTACTGTAATTTGTCACCAACTTTCTACTGACCAACTATTGTTTCACAACTTCTCTAATAATTTAACGGAAATATCTGAGAAATAGCGGTGAAAATTTTACATATATATGTATAAAGGTTTTAGTATGACTCTACATTTGGAACAATAAATGCACGAAATCTTTTTTGGAAGTCTTAAATAGAGCTTTGGCTATAAGGAAATAAAATATCTTTTTATTAAAACTATTTAGTTACAAAGGAAAATACGATTTTCTAAAGGTACTGATATATCCGCTTCGCAAAAATGGTAGGATAAAACGGAACACTAGTGTAAAATCACATGAAAATACAAAATTCTTATTTCTACTGAATCAAAATTGCTAGTTGAATATATGTAATTGTCAGCTCATATAAATAACCTATAGATATATATGATTTTAGGGATAAAAATCACAAATAAATGTGTCATCCTCTTTTTTCGCACTGGTACAATCCAATTGGTCAGTTTTTATCTTATCTTCGATTTTAATTTGCTATACATCAATATGATTGCACATAACCAATTAAAACTATAAACAAAGCACATATCAAGGCACTCCCATGGCTCCTGTATTAGTGTTCTGTTTTGCCTTGCTCATCATAATTAAGAAACTCATTTAAAATTTACAGTTTTGCGTGGGATAAAAAAATAACTTAAGTGTCAGGAATACAGCTGACGGAATGTAGAATCCAGTACTGTAATTATCTTGTTTAATGTTTTAATCGAAAAGTAAAACAAAGTGCTTCAAACATCTAGGTAACATCGAAACTTTTTCACTGAATATTTTTCGAATGCTTTTAATCAGAACATATCTCGTGCACTACTCTGCAGTCCATCTTAAACTACATCGATTACATCAATAACATCTCTTACGATTTTTATCAACATTTCTTGGAAAAACGCCAATGTATACAAGTAATATTTATACATATAATAAAGTAATTTTTACATAGTACTGTAATTGTAACATGAGAAATTAAACGTGTATTGTTAGGATTATTTTATCGTAATGCCGACGCTATACTGAGAACAACGCACAATCTTAATACAAAAGAACGTAATACCGGAATGACGCCTTGTTGCGTTCACTGCCAACCCATACATGGATTGCTTTGTTGGCATTCTTAACGGGTATGTTATCTTTTTTTTATGAGTGTAAATTTCTAATCGGAATTCAAAACCTATTTTTAAATATTACAACTTCTTTTGTCTTTAATATGACATTATTTCACGGGTTTACGAAGGGTCTCGCAAGGGGCTCGACCCCGGTATACGTGTCAAATAATTAGCACGTTTCCGAGTTACTGGCGATGTCTCTCCAGCTGTAACAGGTCAGTGGGCGGTGTCTGCTTTTTATAACTTGTTTTAAAAAATCAGGAAGGCGATTTACATTCTTCGCAAGCGTTAACAATTAATATTCATTACCGTATTTTCAAGACATGTAAATTTTTGCATTGTTATAAAATGGCGTCTCAGTGTTCATTAGTTTCTTCGTGTTCTGATGCCGAGTTTTGAAAAGTTTCGTCGTTATATCGTTAACTTACGAAAAAATGTTTTTATACCATTTTACACTTTTCCTTGAGGGATTGATTGCTGTTAAAACCATGTCGACATAATTTGGAGAATCTATCTTTCTCTTATAATCCGCAATACATTTTGGTTTTATTCTGTATAACCCTGTCTGGTAATCTTTTCGATCAATTATTACCATTTTAATTTTATGTTGTATATGCTTGATAGTATCTATTACGTAGTAGAAAGCTGTTATTGACTTTCTGACCTACCCTGTCGCGAACTTAACCGTCTCAAGGTCAATTGTAGACAAAATCGCGTTAATGAAGTTTTATCTTCATTATCCTTTTTGTTTGTTGTAGTCAGAATAACATTATGAATTCTCTCTTCGAACTGTTATAGATCACTACGATACTTGCGACATTCGAAAATTATATTTACTATAGTTAATGCATGTAGAAATTTGATTGGTTGCCATCAGCCAGCCACAGCTACTGCCACAAATATGGTCACTCCACCGATCATTCGATCGACGCTGCCGCCGCTGCAACCGCAGACTAACGGTCCAATGTTGGCTACCGTATTTGTACAGTGAAATTGATCGTACAGTTTCTGATAAACGCATGTAAAGACCAAACGTGAAACGAATCTAATACATTCGGCAAGTAACGTCTTTCTTCTTACAGGGTAATTGTAGGAGGGGTGCCAAACTTCAAGAAAAATTGTAATGAAATTTAAATTTTGCAATAGAACATTTTATCAGGGGTAGATATCATAATTTGTACATCTTATATTACAACAGGTATTCGAATGAATAAAAATTTTAACCCATTATCTTCGAAACATTGAAAATTAAAATGCCATTTTGTTAGGAGAGGTGCTGTTCTTCCAGTAGTGATGCCGTATTTTGAAACATTTTTAATGTTCCATTTCAATTTGTCAATTTTAATATTTTATTTGAAGGAAAAAATTCGGCTTTTCAAAATTTAATTATTTTTTTTTTCTTTCCTTCACAATCATTACACACATTATTATACACGGTACATGTTTCATGTTTTATGAAGCCATTTTGGACATTCTGAATAAATAATCCAGTCAGCCTCCGATTTAATGACGCAGTAATTTTCCTAACAGTCGATACTATTATTAATATCCAGTACCTTGGTTAATTGGAATGGAATTTAAGCTACAGCGAGTCACAGAAGTACTCTTCACATCGTCGAGTTTAATCGGTTTTTTTTATATATCACAAGTTTTAAAGTCTGTTATATTTTGCATTGACAAAGCGGTAATTATTTACATCAGCGATTCCTTGCCATTTTGGATGACCTTGAACTATATTGTTGACTATATTGTTTGAACATCTTTCTATATACTATGTTACCGCCACTCGGCTTTAATTTCTGGGATATTTATAAAAATTTGTTTTTGGGTTTTTAAGGAACGAACTTCACTAATTCTGATGCCTTTTTAATTTATGACCACGCATTCGATAGTATAAACTACAATAAAAAATATTTCAATCCCATCAATAATTTTTTTTATTGAGGTTTAAGCAAGAGATGTATGTATCTAATCAACTTTACGCTGGTAAATACTCACAAATAAGTATTTATGAGTCTGTTCTGTATGTACACTTACATGTTAGTATCATCATAGCTTCAGCATCTAGCAAATATATAGTGTCTTTTCTATATAGTATATACAGTATGTCCGTTTTATTTCGTTCAAATATCCCCGTATTTATTGAACATACTTGTTTTACACTGTAGATCTGTATGACGTATATAATTATTACATTAGGAAGAATTTTATGAGAAATTAGTAAAATATTAAACTATTGGAATAAAATTGAATATCGAATTTGCTTCGATATAGGACTGTGAGGGGTTGAGGCAGTAGTTCTCCAGTTTAATGATCGCCGTTCATCATTACGTATGTAGGTTGTGTTTATATATAATACAGTTACGAAACTAGAAATAAATATCATATATTTTTGAGCTACGTTTATAATTATCATAATCAAATAGAATATCCAAACCGATAGAGAACCACAAAGGATTAATCAAATTGTTTGATCTTTTTAAATAGCTAATTTTATTGTCGCACTGTTCAAATCCTAAAATTATTATATTCACGCAATATTTTATTTGCAAATGATAAATTTATGTTCTTGAATTCAGTGGTAAACATTATTAATTTAACGTTATACAGTGAGCATGTTTAAGTTGACCAAGACAAAATTTAATTCATTTTTATTCGTCGTTCCAGGCGCTGGCGTCAAGATGGAGCACTTTCAGGCCACCCTGGACCCAAGGAAGCAGGAGTTATTGGAGGCCCGCTTTCTCGGAGCAAGGGTGAGCTATATTTTTAAGTACATACACAGATGTGTTTATGTATGCGCTCTCGTCGTTACATTCTCTTCTTTTTTTCTTCTTGTTTTCACCATATCTGCACAAATATCGTTTATTACCTAATCTTTAGAGCATGTGAAGTACAAAAGTTACAGATCGACAACGATGAATACAAGTAGAGGAAAACTTATTTAATTGCGTAGTACGTGATGTTGTATACAAACACAACCTTGGAATATAATGTACATCACTCGTGCAATGTTTTCTTTCTGTTCAAGGACCTTGAGAATTTTAATAGTAATGATGATACTGATAATATTAACAGTACTAATAGTAGTGGTAGCAACAGTAATAGTAGTAGTAGTGTTAGTTGTAGTGGTAATAGGACTACCCGCAATACAGGAAGGGATGATACTGTTTCAAACGGATTAATATTCGTCTATTTCTTACCCCGATCTTATTGTTTGAACGTTCTTTTACTTTTTTAAGTTTTATGCGAGAATGTTTTATTTACAGGAATAAATTATTATCGGGGACAAACCGCGTATATATTTACGATAAATCTGAAAGAGGCACTTATGACGCTTCGTCATGTCACTAGTAACTTGTTGTACCTTTTTCTCTTTCTTTTAGCCGAGTATTTGTTGTCCTTAATTCAGTCCCAATATTATGCGGTTCATATTCTTCTTCTAAAGAGAACTTTATGTCATGAATGATATTACCGATTAACTATGAATTTCACACACTTCCTTGCAAACTGTAGTGATGTTCGGTTAAATTTCATAGATACAACATCGCTCTTCTTCTACTTACCATTTACTGTTTTGAGCTTAATGCAATCTGATCTCAGTTGATAAGAAAATAGAATGAATACACTGAGGAGAAAGGATGTAGACACTTTGAACTGGTATCACGAGCGTAAAAAGTGATTATGGGATAAAGAAACTTTCAATTTCAGAGGTAAGACCATTTTAGTCTTACCTCTTCAAGCGTAGTACTAATGAATTATTGAAATTCTTTCGAATAAAATTAGTTGAAACACATCGTAAATGAGACTAGTTTTATGTGTTTGTAGTAAACGTAGGTACGTTTAGTTTTGTTATTTTCAGTAAGCCGATAAAACTGGTCCACTTTAAATCATGTTTGGTCCCATTTTGATTGGAAAAATTCCAGTAATTTATTGCTACTATCTTTGCTGTCTGTGCTATCTCTATACAGGGATTCCGAGACTTGATTGTCTATATTTGACGCACTGCATCTATCTTGTTTTATTTGCGAATGACTATTCTTTTATATTATCAAACCGTGCTTAAATAATTGTTAAATCAAAAATGCCACCTTGCTTACGAAAATTTTAATGCTAGATTTCGAATCTTTAAAGTTTAACCATGCACTACTTTACCGTATTCGAATAATGAAAGTTGCAAAAATATTGTAAAAATGTTTTCTTTGCTCATGTGCCCGTGAACTTTTAAATTTGAATTTTCATAGCAAATTGTTTTATACGTGTCATGGTACGCATTATTAATATTAATTCTATTAAGAATGGAATAGTATCTATAATAATTTGTTCTTTCGATTATATTTTGCTCCTTAAAACAATAATACATGTTATATTTTCGAAATATAAATTTGTATTCAAGGTGATCAATACACGAAAAAAGAAATTTTGATTTTAGTGCAAAGTTTTTACAACATGTTTTATAAAGGGATACTTCTCACAATTGCTTATATACATAGTGTGCGTTGTACCCTCAATATGGGGCAATTATGTTAACTTACAATTAGAGACCAACGCGTGTACATGGTCGTGTACATGCACACATCTGTTCTAAAAATGTTTTCAAATTATATAGCTAGGCTACTGCTTAGAGCATTCGTCATATTCTATGAACACCTTCGACACTTCAAAAGTATAATATATTCTTTTTATTTATCTATTTTATTTATTTCTAAAACTCATGGGGCCGAATCCGACGAATATAATAATTGAACAATTTGTACAGTCTCTTTTTTCTCCAAATACTACTTTAGAATTTCTTGTAACTTCGTTTTCGATAGCTTCGATGTCCTGCGAATTGAAGGAACAAGTTCAGCAAGGGGACACGTCCACTCGCGACGAACGTTGACGCCTCGGTTTCGACTGCCCTTGTTGTTAGCTGATTCGCGTAAACGAAGATCGCAAATGAAATAGAATAGGAAAATATCTAATATTGTTATGGATAACAAGAACTACACCTACGCGGTGATCATTTTTAGGTTTTGGCACGTGGTACGTGGAGTAATTCGAGATTACTAGTTCTTAAGTAAGTTTTAACGCGCATTCTGTCATGAAATTGAAAGAAACTAGACCCATTATTTGAATATCAAGTCAATATCTTTGGAAAGTATTACGAAAGTCATGAACTTGTCATGGTTTGATTTCGTAGATTTTATAACAAATATCCTCTATACGTCGAATCGAGCGTTTATCTCTTCCAAGATATTGCTTACGTGCTGAGCTAACATGGAATCATTTTCTGAATTTGTCGCAGCCGAACTGATGGGTAATGGCATTGAAAAAGTGACTCTAGACGACTCAGGACTTGAAGTTAGTTTATTTACACTATTGTAGGTTTCACCCTACACTCCATAGTTAGAGAAGTGGTTGTTTAACGCTAAAACTACCAGACGGTCAAACTGACCCATTTCTGATTTCTTTATTTTACAATGATTAAAAAGATAACAGATGTTTTTCTGAGAAATTATTAGGGAAATTATTCAGCAATACGCAAACTGAATTATAAATCAATTAAAATTTCGATAGATACGCTCTTGAAGTTTCTATAGAGGAATTTCAGAAAGTCAGTTTAACTGCTCGGTAAGTTTAGTGTTAATAGAATAGGAGATTCAGCCGAGCGATTGAGTCGGTTTACCAAAAGAGTTCTCTTTTCAAGATATTTAAGCACCGTAGGTTATTTTGAGTAATTTGCGGTATGCTCACCACTGCAGTTTGCACATTTGGGAGAATCTCAGGAGCCTTAAGACATTTCTCGGTATAGTGGTGCTATCCACATTTAACATTTTTCTGAGCTTTAAAACAATTTGCCCGGGCACATACAAAAGCTTGGCATCTAAAGTACTGGGTGTAGCAGCGATATGACTAGTGGTTTTAGATTATGTTTGGTTAACTCGTCAATAATAATAGCCTCCTCAATTTTAGGAAATTCTTTTAGCATTGTAAGGAGTGTTCTGTCAGCTGGGAGAGAATAAATATGGAATTTTAGTGAAGTTTATTAGCTCACCAATAGCCAGCCTGACATAGATTGGTGGACGACGAGAAATTTTAGTTTTGCTAGAGAAGGGCGAATGCTTAGAATTACTTGGGCGGTTTGATGAATTTTCCATTGAGCCTTTAATGGTGGCAAATCTAGTGAAGTTAGCTGAGTCCAGGAAGTGGGATCGATTCTGGGTAGGTGTAGAGTTCGTGAAGAGTGACTTAGCAGCGTAAAAAAAAATTCGATTTTTGCTTAATACTTGAAGTATCATTGTCGTGGTAAAATCTTTTAGTAGAAATTACACACTATACTCAAACAACACACTGCCTTCAGATTTCTAGGAAGTTTATTTAGCACAACTTTCATTTTTTCAGAGCAGAATAAATGTAGGAGTAAGATAAAGGCACCAGTAATTGACCTGGTATCAGTAGTTGACCATTTGTCAGGAAAACGTGAAAAATAAGGTTTTTAAAAGTTATAATCTTTCGATAAAGGCGCGATAGACATGCTACAGCATCTACCGCTCATCTCCGAAACACTTTTATCATGAAAACTAATGATTTATTTAATTGACGAAGAAACGGTGTATAATTAACGGTAAGAAATACTTAAGCTTTTAACTTTTAATTCTATACTTTTTATTCCATACCATTTTATTTTATACTTAATAAATGTCATGTTTTTGTTGTCTGAACCTCAAAGAATATTACTGACAATACGGTTAACTATTAAATCTTGTCATTCTTATTATTTTTAGAAGGTGACACGTGTGATCAATTACTGATAGCTACTTTACATGTAATTTCGCCAGAAGTAAAGAACAGAACTCTCGATTTTGAAGTATAACGCATTTTAGTATACGACCACATAGTCGACTATTGACTGAAACTATGGTCAGTTATTGACTCAATTTAATGGAGTTTAAATTTATTAAGTAACTACTTAGGCAATACTATTAAAATCAACAAAATATTAAAGTGCACTTACTTGGGTATTTCCGATTATGTAGAAACTGAAGATAACGAAGAGTCTAGGGAAGGAAATGAATTGTTGCACAACAATAAATGTCTACCTACTAAAAGGACAGAAAATGAATATGTAATATTTGTATGTAAAGGTGAATATTTTCCTGGGAAAATACTAAAAATATTAATGAGCCTACCAGATCCAGCAAATCTCGAAATATTTTCTCCGTTCTTGAAGTAGATTTTATATAGAATTAATTTTTTTTCATTTCACATATTAAAGTAATCACCTTTAATGTTTTTGGTTTTATTATACGTGGTCAACTACTAACTAACATATGGTTAATTACTAGTTTTTTTCGTTTTCAAGTATAGTCAACTTCTAATGCAAATATTGAATGTTCAAAAATGTCTATAAAATTTGAATAATACAACTATTTCAAAAATGTTCACCTTGTTATATAATGTAAGAAGTTCAAACAGCATGTTCACGCACAGATTCCCTATATTTAATAAACGAGCAAGCGTTTACTATTATTCACACGGAAAATTTTTCTTAAGTGGTCAACTACTGGCGCTTTTACGATATTTAATTAAACAGAAGTTCAACTAGATTCAACCAGACGGAAAATCATAGTGATATAAGTTCAAATTTTGATTATTTAAATTACTAATATTTTTCAAACCTTTATTGCTCTGTGTATTTACTTTCATGACACTATATCTGTCTATATATATTCCTGGCCAATTTTAATAACTTTGAATTGTGTTGATCATCATT